TGGAGGGGAGGGTCAGAGCAGGAAAAAGTACCGATACGTACCGTTATCCTTCCCTCGTTTCCCTTCTTGGGTCTCCTGGAAGGCTCTCGTCGCCACGGTTGGATTCGCCTCGGGGTTCTGGTCAGGACGCACCCCAGGAGAGGTCCGGGGAGTAGCGGTATCGTTACCTTTTGGTTTCCCCAAGGGGGGGTCAGGGATGTTTCTTCAGTCAGTCATCATACGCCGGGGCGAGTGGGCAGTGAGGGCGATGATACATCGCTTCGGGATTTTACTGGACACTCTCAGAGCGTTCCCGAGAGGCTGCGGTGCCCAGTGCATCCTTCGGACCCGCCAGTTCTCGAGGGAAGAAACACGATGACCATGACCAAGATGTCGCAGGAATCTTGTCGACGCGGATCTTGGTCATTGTCGTCATTTCCCATGCCGGCCGTCTCCGATTCGCGGGGATGATTCTCGATTTGACGATGACCAAGGTGGACGCTTATCAAATTTGACATTGACGTTTCTGCGCTCAGATTTAGTCATGATCATCGTTGTCTTTCCCATCAGACTCTCAGATATTCCCGATGTATCCTGGTCCGATATTGTACTCTTTCTGCCTCCGTCTTGTGGGGAAGAGGGAGGCGCCTCCTGTCAAGCAGTGGCGAATAATCCTAGCTCGCCTATAGGCTTACCGAATAATGTTTTAAGAACCTTGTGTGGTCTGCACAACATGTTCTTAGAGCATGTCTGGCTGGGACTGTCCTGTTTTACAACTTCGGATTAATGGCCTAAGAACATTGTTTTTGTTATTGGAACATTTCCGGTTTCTAAGAACATTTCGTGGTTGGACTATTGGAATGCCCGGACGGTCGGTCCCTGCTCGAATGTTGTATTCTTTCTGCCCTCGTCTTGTGGGGAGGAGGGAGGCGCCTCCTGATCACGTGGAGGAGCCTCTCGCCTCTCCAGGGGCGCCCCCTCAGATGCACCCGCGGACCCCAGGGGCCCCCACCTCCAGGGGGAGTCTCCAGGAGGCGTGACGGGGGGCGGGCGAAACGCGGACGGGGAGGAGGAGCAGAGCGGGTCGAGGCGGTGTTGGGGGATGGATCAGGCGCTCGCAACACATGGATTGACGGGGGCGTGGATTAGCGACGGGTCCCGCTTCCATGGGAGATCCCGGGTTTCCGCCGCCGACCGAGGCTGCTTCGGCTGCATTCTGGGAGGACACTTCCCCCGATCCATGGATTTGGCGACGGCGTGTCAAATCCATGTTTGCGCGCCCCTGGATGGAAGGGATGAGGTGGGACGCGGAGGATGGAGGAGGAGAAGGAGGAGGAGGAGGAGGAGGAGGAGAAGGAGGAGGAGAAGGAGGAGGCGGAGGAGGAGGAGGAGGGGGGGGGGGGCCAGGAGGAGGATGGAAGGGGGAGGCAGAGAGGAGGTGGTTGTTCGCCGCCATTCTCGGTGAAACGCTCCTCTGGTGTCAGAAATTTGAATGATCTCCAAGCGCAGACCGATACGTCTACTCGTCTAAGCTGTTCCACTGGATGTTGGCTGCCAGCCGTGAAGCGTCGCGAAGTATTTGATACACATCGACGTTGCAATTCAAATCGGTTGAGGGGGGGTGGGGGGAAAAAGGAGGGAGGAGGAAAAGGTGGATGCGGGAACAGTAGGAGGAGCAGTAGGAGAGCGGGTTGGAGGAGGGCGGAGGAAGCAAGAGTGGTTTGAGTAGGGCGGATGAGTGAGGCAAGCGAAGCCTAGTAGTCAGACGTCCTTCTCCGGCTAACGTAAGGTGCGAGCGACGGTTGGTCGTTGCGATCAGCCGAGCGCCAGGCGAACGACGCGGCAGGCGAGATTAAGTTCGCCCGACGCCAATTGTAGCGAGAAGAATGTCAGCGCCTCCTTATTTCTGCCTTTGATCTCGCTGGGCAGGCGTCCTTTGGAGACCCCACAGCATCCGATTGCTTACATAATCACATTCAAATCCAGCGAGAACACCATCAACAGGAGGAACAGTGCGATCTTCACCTGAGAGCGGGGGGGGGGAGGAGGAGGAGGAGGAGGAGGAGGAGGAGGAAGAGGAGGAGGAGGAAGAAGAAGAAGAGGAATACTAATAAGGAGAAGGAGAAGGAGGAGGAGGAGGACGAGGACGAGGAGGAGGAGGAGTATGACAAAGAGGATGATCCTTAGCAATCCCGAGGACTTGTTCCGCACTAGTCACGCTGGCTTCTTCACGGTATTCCTCGAACTTATGAAGGGGGATATTCTGGTGTCCCAAGGGGTCTTGTTGGAATCGCATGGATACCTGCGGGCATCATAAGGAGTTCCTCGAGAATCTGACGATTGCTCGGAGTTCCTTGTTGGATTTGTTCTAGAGCCCTAAAGGAGGTCCAAAAGTATCCTCCAAATTTTGTCAGGGGCCCTCAGGATCCCGCAGAGGATGAACACCTTCTGGGATATCCTCAAGTGCTCCCTCGGGAACCTGATGGATGTCTTCCGCATTCCTAACGATTGCCCTCAGGATGTCGACGACATTTTACGGATACGACTGCATGCACGAATTTTTCTGGAAGATTTTCGATGGGTTCTTGAGGATTCTTTTTGGGGCCCCGGCGATTCCCCGAAGGACCCTGCGAGATGTCACCTTGCGCACCTCGCGGCGGTCCGCGTTCCCAGGTGCTTCGGGAAGCCGCCCCCTCGCGGAGTGAGACCCCCACCGGTGCGGCCCAGCTTTCCCGCGCGACGCTCCCGCGCGCACCGCCGCCGCGCGAGCCGCCGCCGAGGCTGCGAGGCGCCACCACCGACCAGCCGCGGAGCGAGGACCCCGCCGCTGCGACGCAGCTGCGTCACCCGCGCGCGGGCCCCCGCCCGCACGCCCACCCGGCCGCGCCTCGTGGCGCCACGGCGTCGCGGAGCGGGGCCACCAGCGGTCACCAGCGACCAGTCGCGGAGGAACAGACCCGCCGATGCAGCGCACCGGAGCCACCCGCGCGCGGTTTTTCGCGCCCGCGGCGCGCACCCGGCCGCGCCGCGAGGCGCTGCACCCGCGTGGAGGAGAATCACACCAATGCAGCGCAGTGGCGGGCCCCCGCTCGCGGCGAGGCGACACTCGTGACGAGGAGAGATTCGAGCAGCTTGAAAGGGGGTCCAGCTTGAAGGCGGCTGTGTTTTGAAGTGTGGGTCGGTCTCGTTGCAGCGATGCGCGCGCATGGTGAGATTGCCACATAGAGTTCGCACTCCGAACTGTTATTGCCAAGGTCCTGCAGCGATGTGCGTGTTCGAGGTTCCACGGCCCGCCAGTTCATTGCGAGGGGGTGTCCAGGTCGGCCATCGAGATCGGACGCCGTTCTTGGGCACCCCACATGCAGTGCTCGCAGGCCTTCCAGGTGATCAGGTCCGTTCTGTTCGGTTTGCCGCACCCGTCCAGTACAGGAGCGCAATGCACCCCGCCAGCTGCAGCACATTGCAATAGACTGGTGGGATGCAGTATGCTCGGGGCGTGCAGTCGGATCTGGGGCGCGTAAGTACTGTTCACAGCTTGCGTGCAATACGGCTGTCGCAATACAGCGCGATACAACTTATTCGAACACGACACTTACACATCAGCTGCCCATTTGTCATACATTTGCAACGCGCCGTCCGCGCGCGTTGACGGTGCAACGCGCAATCCGCGCGCACCGCGAGACCCAGCACTCCACGCTAATAGCGCCAACTCTTCATGCGGCTGCTTTCACACATGGGCCGTCGATGTCTTCGAAAGCGCTCCGACACGCCAGCCTGCTGATTATTGCCTGATTATTTTGTTTGGCCCGAAGCTGTTTGCAGGTTTGCGTTCAACGAGCTGCGGAAAGCGAGTAATCGTTTTCGCACTGGCAGGTACGGAACTTCAGTGCCAGCTTCGTGTCCGCCACCACCCCTTTCACCAGGAACCTCATTTGGGCCGCCCTGGAGGGAAATCACCACCGACCAGTCGCGGAGCGAAACCCCCGCTGGTGCAACGCAGCGGCGCCACTTTAATTGAGGTTGTTCGTGGAACCGGGCTTCCCTGCGATTGGAGGGAATATTTCACGATCGCCGCCACAGCAGAAACGGCCGAGGCCGAATAAACCTATTCTCTCCAACCTTTTCTCTCCGAGCCACCCCCCCCCACGGCTTCCGCGCAGCGACGCGCCACTCCCGTAGGGGACCGAAGCCACCATTGACCAGTCGCGGAACGAGACCCGCTGAGGAGACGCTTGGCGGGCGTTGCGGGGGCTTGGGGAGTCTTGGCAGCGCGTGCGTTGACTTGACCAGCCCCCTGGCAAAGTGGACGAAGGGTCGGGATGCGTTCGCGGGTTCGTTTGTTCCTCCCTTCCCTCCACAGTCTTTGGTCTCAGCCGGGAGATGGGCACGCTCGCGGTCTTCAGGCGTCCCAGAGTCATATATATATCTTCATATCACCCATCCTCCTTTTCCTACCTCCTCCAATCCTTCTCCATTCCTCCATCCTTCCCTCCTCCTTCTCCTCCTCCTCCTGTGTCCTCCGTCCTCTCTCCTCCCTTTTCCCTCCTCCTCCTCCTCCTCCTCCATTCCTCCTCCCTCCCTCCGCCCTCCCTCCTCCCTTCCTCCTCCTCCTTCTCCTCCTCCTTCTCGTCATCATCATCATCATCATCATCATCCTCCTCCTTCTCCTCCTCCTCCGTTTCCTCCTCCCCCTCCCCCTCCTCCTCCCTCCTCCTCCTCCTCCTCCTCCTCCTCCTCCTCCGCCTCCTCGTCATCATCATCATCATCATCGTCATCATCATCATGATCATCATCATCAATATCATCATCATCATCATCATCATCATCATCATCATCATCATCATCATCATCATCACCAACACCAACACCATCACCATCACCATCACCATCACCATCCCTCCTCCTTCCTCCCTTTCCCCTCCTGCTGCTCCTCCTCCTTTTCCTCTTGCCTCGCCCTCTTGAATTACTCGCGCGGTGGGGAGGCGATCTGCGGCCGGAACGGCTGCGGCAAGTCCACGTTCATGACTTTGCTTTGCAGCGAGGCGCCGCGCCCGGCGCCGCGGGTGCTCAGCGCAGGTCGCCTTCCTCGCCTTTTCACCCCATCTTTCATCTCCTCCTCCTCTTCTTTCTCCTCCTCCTGCCCTTCCTCCCCCTCCGCCTCCTCCTCCTTCTCCTCCTCCTCCTCCTCCTCCTCCTCCTCCCCTGATGCTGCTCCTACCCTGCCCTGCCCGGCACAGCGGAGGGCGGCCCCTCGCTCGGGCGCCTGGTTGGAGTTCGTCAGGGGTTGGGGGAAGCGGATCTTGGGGGGGAGAAGGATCCTGGAGTGTTTCCTCGTTTTCTGAGCATCGGGACCCTCCACGGGCCCCAGGAGTGGCAGAAAACAATTCAGGATGAAGATCTCGTCCTGGGAGAAAGCCCTAGGGTCCTGGACCCGTTTCCCTCGGGACCCGTGTCCCCCATGTTATTTTCTTCTTCGTCTTCAGGAGATGAACAGTGGGTGTGTGAGCAATGACGTTTCACCTGCAGGATGTGGACACCCAGCTGGCCAAGTCACGTTGTCACTTTCTGCGGCTCGGGGTGGTCCTTTGCACCTTGACACCGCAGACTATTTCAACATAGTTCCTTGGAACATCGACGGGCATACAGACTCGAAACAAGTTGAGCTAGTGTACGCAATAAATCAACTAGATATCAAGACCTTGTGCCTACAGGAAACAAGGACATCTAAGTCTAGCACGGACGTCACGGAGCCCGTCTTCCTCGTAGTCCTTTCTTGCGGCGTGGGCGACCCAAAGGACGAGTTGGCTGGATTGGGTTTTATCGTACATCCAAGGTTTAGGCGCTTTGCGGTTTGAGTTTGCCATGCGGCGGTTCGCATGGTATCGTTCAAGCTTCGGATCCCAGGAGGTAAGGCTGCCGTTTTCTCTGAGTACGCGCCTCACAGTGGGCGCGAGTTCCAGAGGCGGTCTGAATTCTTCACGAACTTGTCAGAATTCGTTTCCACACTGTCCGCTCATGGACCCAAGCTTGTGTTATGAGACATGAATGCAAAATTGCATGGCCAGCTCGATGGAAAGAGTGACACGGTGAGGTCCTACATGTTCGAACGCCCCCTCCAGACGTGCAAGGAAGACGCCAACCGGTTCCTGATGGTTTAGATGTGCGAGAATTTGAGCATGTGCGTTGCAAACACATATTTTGACGTGCCGGATGGCAACCTTGTCACCAACTACAGCTACAACGTGGATGCGCTTGTTGGGTAACAGATTGGATCCTCGACGCACTCGCAGATCGATTTCATACTCTGCGAGAGGACTTGTCTCCAGGACGTTATTGGCGTGGTTGCTAGGCACGATTTGCCGTTGTCGACCCATCATCTCGTGTTGGCTGCGTGTGTCCGCGCGTCAGTTGAGAAGATGGCACCAGCGGGCCAGAGTCCACGTCTTGATGTCACCCTCTCCGACCCACACTCCGATTGATATTTCAACGTGAACCTGCTGTTTGTTTTGGAGGGTTTCGACGACAGCAGCTGGATACGGGCATGTCGAGCTGGGGTGGTGTCGTATTGCGGATTGCTTCTTATCACGCTGCAGAGCGCACGTTGCAACTCGCCCCGAGACGGACTGTTAAGGCCTTGGGCGATTGCCAGAACGCTGGGGCTGATCGAATGCCGAGTGAGCGCCAGAAGGCAGGGCGAAATTGACGAGGAAAGCGCTTGTCGAAGAAAATCCGTGCTTCGGTTGCCAGGGACAAGGCCGCTTGGATCGAATCGGTCACGAAATCCGCTGATTGATTGTAGTCGCATTCGGAGGCTCCGGGAAGGCCTTGTCCGCGGACAGGGCAGGCTTCCTGACGTCAACAAGAGCATGGTGGACACGGACTAGCGCGCTGAGACTCTGGCCGGTTATTTTGAGAGGGCGCAGTGGGCAGTCAGACCCACGTCAGTGGCACCGCCAGTTGTTGCCCGCATTGCCGACAACGATTTGCACATCTCCATGGGCGATTTCACAGTGGAGGAGGTGGAGGCCGCAGCTGCGAAATTGAAGCGTGGACGCGCTTCTGGCCTTGACGGGATGCCACCCAGATTCTGGGAAACAGAGGCAAGCAATGCTGGAGGTCTCCCGAGCTATCTGGCACAATTTTACACCGACGTTTGAAGACGAGGGGAGGTCCCAGAAGCATGGGGGCACGCGAGGGCGTCGAAGCTGTTCAATAGAGGCGACCGCATAATGCGATAACTACCGTCCCATCAGCATCCTGCCCATCGGCAACAAATTGTTCGCGGCCATCCTGCTCCAGAGGCTGAAGCAGACGGGGGCTGAAGACCGCATCAGGCGAACCCAGTTCGGGTTCCGCTCCGGGCGGGGCACGGCAGACGCAGTGCTCCTCGCCCGCCAGGTGTTGGATGACACATGGTCGCGCGATGCAAGTCGTTTGTTCCTGGCGCTCGAGTGGGCCAAGGCGTTCGATTCGGTCTCGCCTGACGCGCTTGCCGGCTCGTTGCGGATATTTGGTTGCCCGGAAGGTTGCGTCGCCGTCGTCGCATCGATTTACAGCGAGCGCAAGTTCGTCGTGCGGGAGTTCGGGGCCACGTCCAGCGTGCATCAGCAGAGGTACGGCACGTGCCAGGGCTGTCCGCTGTCCCTTATCTTGTTCACAAGTGTGATGTCGACGCTTCTCACGGACGCGCGCGCGCGCTGCTGCAGAGACGCGCCGGACCGACGCTAGAAAATCGGTTTGCGAGGGATTTCGCGTGCGCGGACGACGCGTTGCTCATAGACTCTGACCCACCCCTCGTTCAAGAGCTCACGCGCTGCATTCAGGAATGCGGGGGCCACTGCGGGCTGCAGTTCAATTGGGGCAAGCTGGAAAATCAATCGGGGCGTCCAGAAGTAACTTCAAGGTGCTTACAATAATCTGGTCGCATTCGGCTTTGATTAGGAGGCTGAATCTACGCATGTTCAACGCTCGCGTTGTTTCCAAACCCACATATTTATTTTCATTGCTTGCCTTAACAAAGCCGAGCGAAGACGGCTCGACGGCTTCCAGAAATAGCGTCTCAGACGAATTCGCAGAGCCCCCCCGTCGTACATCAGTCGGGTGTCGAATCGTACAGTTCTGCAGGGTTGCCAACAGAGGCTTTTGAGCGATAGTCTCCCCCGTTGACAGATGATGTGCGTGGGCCACTTGGCCAGAGGACCCGACGAGGATCCAGTCAACTGCAGCTCGGTGTTTGAGGCGGGCGGTTTGGCTCTCAAGAACCTCTTGGGGACAAGGAGAGGAGGCCGCCCGAGACACTCTTGGGGGCCCATGGTGCCGAAGAGTGTGAGAATGCTACCGCCTCCCATGAGCGACTTGTTGACTACTTCCGCCGGAAAGGCGGTGCAGCTCGCAGGTGGGAGAAGGCGGTCAAGGCATGGGCGGCGCGCTGCACAGCGGTCTCGTTTTTTTCTGGTTGTTCGATTTCTTTTTGCTACATGTTTTCAATGCGCTGTTGGCTCGTCCCATCCTCCCTTCCATCTCCTCCTCCCCCCTTCGCAGTCTTCATCCCCTCACCCCTCTCCTCGTTTCCGCCTTCTCACCGATCCCTTCATTTCTCTCCCACCCCATCCCTTCCTCACCCGTTCCTGCACTGCCATGCTTTGTTGCGAGGCCAGCGAGGTACTGACATGCCCCATCCTGGGCCCTGCAGGCATTCCACCCTCGCTTGGATCTCGCTCTTCTGCCCAGGCGACGGCCATAGACCACAGGTGCGCCGCGGCCGACTCCTATGGCGGATCTCTCGTGTGCTTCTGCCTTCCCCGCCCCTACTGCAGCACCAACGCCGAGTCGGGAAGGGGGGTCAACCATTCCTTGCTACAGCACAGACTGGAACGGGGCGCGCGGTGTGGGTGTGCGTTCCCGGGGAGACATGCCGTTCACAGCAGAAGAAATATGAGTCGGTTGTTGAAGAGGCCTCCTCTTTTTCTTCGGGCATCCCAAGAGGATGATGATGATGCTGATGATGATGATGATGAGGAGGAGGAGGAGGAGGAGGAGGAGGAGGAGGAAGAGTGTGAGGGGGGGAGGGCGGGGGAGGAGGGACCGACCAGCGAGAAGGGAACATCCAGGAGGTCTCAGGCAGGAGGGATCGGGCAGGAGGGAGGCGAGGTGAGGCAGGGAAGGAGGGAGGAAATTCGTTCTGGGTCTCGTCCTCCCTCCCCCCCTCCTCCTCTTCCTCCTCCATGCGCCTGTCTTCCTCCACTCCATGTAATTACGACTCTGCGGCTACTGTCGTATCGCACGATGTCATCCCTCTCCCGAGTGTTATCAGACCCGCTGTGCTCGATCGTCTTTGTCCTCTGCGCCGGCCCCCTGGCTTACCGCCTGCGCGCGGCGGTCTCCGACAAGGTTATGTTCAAAATGTGCGCTGATGAATTTGGTATTTTGTTTGGGGATATCCCGTACATCGCGCCGATCCGCGACCTCTATATCTTGGTCAAGCGCGCCACCAGCCTTCGAGAGAAGTTTAAGAGATGCGGGATGTCGCCCACGGGAGTTTGCTTGAGATTGTCATTGGTGGACGAAGTCACCGTGCCCCAATGGGCAAAAATACGTATTGAACCATGATTCGAATATCTGGGCATGATATTGGGACAGGGTTGGGGGGCTACGATCGACCCGAATATATTCTTGCACCGCTCTCGCAGTGCAGCGGTCTGTCCAGGCCGCTGGATTGCGAGAGCGGTGGATATCTGATTGGCCGAGCCTTCAATTATCCTGTAGCGCAAAGCTTCACGAGAAAGATGACACGTTGTCGATCGCCTATGCTGCTGCCGGTATTGCGAGCCTCCCGTCTGTCTCCAGACCACGACGTATTCTAATCCCGAGGACTTGGTGCCATGGATAGATTTCCACACGTCGTATGCACGAACCTGTACGTCACTCCTGCCATCGGTGCGGGTTCCCTGACGCAGACGAGCAGCATCATTTCGAGTGTAACGCTTTCTGGACGTTGTTCGAGAACTGCCAAGGCCGCGCTAACGGCGATTTTGGTTAACGGCGATGTTGGGGATCCGGTGTTGGTGACACCGAGCTCGCGCAGAACAAACTATACTATATGAAATCACGAGCCCCACTTCCCTATGTTTCAGATGTGCGCATGTGTACGTAGAGCGAAAACGACGCAGCGAATTGCAGGAAAGCGCGAACCACGATGTCCTACAATTGGTTTGGCCACGAACCAGTTCCACCTACAATGCTGGAGCCTACATCGCCGTTACCCGTTACCTACATTGTTGTTAGCGCGTCTACGGAATTGCCCAGGATCGCATCCGTCCTGGGTCCGGGAACGCTTCGGTTTGAGTTCGCGGGTTGGGCTTCTGCGCGCTGCTACGGCCCACACGCTGTTCCACAAAATGAGGGACCACTACAGCAGGGGCGGTGAGCTTGCTGCCGTGCGCCACGGGTGCTGCCTCTGCTGGGCGCCGCGGCCGCGCGGAGCTTCGTTTTTGATTGATTTCCTCTTTCGCCGATCCGTGATCCCTACTTTCAAGCAGTGGCGAAGCGTCCTGGCTGCCTCGCCTATAGGCCCACCAAAGAATGTCTAAAGAACCTTTTTGTGGTATGCACGACGTGTTCTCAGAACATTTCTGGCTGTGCCTGCAATGTTTTAACACATCTGGCTGATGTTCTAAGAACATTGTTTTTGCTATTAGAGCATTATGGGCTTCTAAGAACGTTTCGTGGTAGGCCTACAGGAATGCCGGGATGGTCGGTCTCTGCTCAATATTTTCCTCCTTCTTCCTCCTCCTCCCGTTTGTTTCCATCTCCGCCTTCTCCATCTTTTTCCTCGTCTTCCTGGGCGCTGGGCGATGATGGCATTCGGTGACGTTGCTTTCACCTCCTCCTCATCCTCCTCCTCGCCTGGGGGCTAGGCCTCCTCCTTGAGGAGTCGCGCACCTCTGGGGGCCCAAGAGGCTGCCTGACTGCGTAGGCGCCAATGTGTTGGGCGTCTTGGGTTCCTTTCTCAACAGGGGGATTTGTGTACACCGCCTTGCGCTGCCTGGGGTCATCCTGACCTGGGGCAGTGCGCAGGCCTCCTGCTCTCGGCCAGGGGGCCGCGTGCAGTCTGGGGCTCGGGAGCCGGGCGAGGGTCAGCTGAGACAACGGCGGCCCTCCCGCCCGGTCAGGAGCCGGCCAACGTAGGCCCCAGGACCCTGCCGGGTGTCCTCGGGGGATCCCCGGAGGCGGCCAAGAGGCGCGGGCGATGCGTCCCCTGGCCTCCCCCTGGGCCGCGCACGTGCCTCGGGCTGTGGTCTGCGGCCCCTAAGACAGGGCTAGGATCGGGATAAATCGCTCCAGAGCGTTCCAGAGAGCTCTCAGAGCGTTCCGGAACGCTCTGGAGCGGCCGCGGCGCCCAATACATCCTCCAAACCCGCCGATTCTCAGAGATTTCGAGTTATCCCGATCCGATTTTGTCCCGATCTTCGCGTCGTTTTATGTGTTCTGCGGCCCCCCCCCTTCTGGGGACGCCCTCGAAGCTCCGGGGCGCTGCGGCTCTTGGCGGAAAAAGGCACCACGAAGGGCTGCCGCTGCCTGCCTCGGCCCGCCCGACTCCGAGCGCAGGCGCCCCCTGCTCGTTCCTGACCCTCCGCGTGCCCGCCTGGGACACCTCCTCCTACTCCTCCTCCTCCTCCTCCTCCTCCTCCTCCTCCTTCTCCTCCTCCTCCTCCTCCTCCTCCTCCTCCTCCGCCGATGCAGCCAAGACTCGGCGGCGAGCGAGGGGGGGAAGGGAGAATAGGGGTGGGCTTCTCAGAAGGCTCGGAAGCCCCCTGGCCTTCTGAGAAGTTGTCCGAGCCTTCCCCGAGGGCATGGAAAGCATCCGAGAAGGCCCGCTCCTTCTCATCTCCCCCCTTTGCTCGCCGCCGAAACACGCTGACATGAGGGCCGCTGTGGGCTCGGAGGGGGCTCACTGTTCCTTAGGTCCTTCCGTGGTTGTCTCCTTAGCGCTCCTCGTTTACCCAGGCGTTGCCAGCGCCCAAAAGCGGCTTCCTTCTTGATATCGTAGTGTTTCTCATTCCAGCAGCTTTTTTGCAGGATGTGTCCAATGCGCGGCCCCAGAGGTCCCGACCCGCTCCCTGGCGCCAGTTCTTTCGCTCCGGATCCGTTCTTGATGACCCAGGGGGTCAGGAATGGGCCGCAGAGGCCGACATCGAGGAGAATCCCGCCAGTTGGAATTACGGTCGGGAACCCTCGGGTAGCATTCCGCTCCGTCAGTTTTGCCCCACCGCGCTTCGGCGCGACACGCTGTCCATTTCCCGGCCCCCAGGTGCCCGTGCGCCAAGCTTTTCCGAGCCTCCCGCCCCGCGGAGAGGAGCGACACGCCTATCCGCTCGCAGGGTGTGGCGTGTCGCCGGGGCCGCCGCTTCGACACGCCACCCGCTGCGCCCCGGCCGCAGAGCACCGTCGGACAGCTGGGCCCGGAGGCGACCCGCCCCCCGACGCGCGGCGGTGCCACCGCGGCGGCGGCCGGCGCCGACGGCCAGCGCCGACGGCCGGCGCGAGGCCAGCCCGAGCGAGGACCCCAACGGCGTCACCGGCGAGGTCAGAGCGCGAGCCGCCGCCGCGTTTTCGTTGCCTCTCCCCGCCCTCTCGAGGAGGAGAGGTACCGCTACCGCTGCTGTCGGACCGAGGCATAAGATCGAGGTCGGCCCGGGGGTGATGTCAGCTTGTGATAAACAAGTGAGCCCCCCCAGGGGGGCGTGCGCCAGGGGGGTTCGTCGCGGGCGCCGTCGAGGGGATCATTTACCCCCATGCACGGCAGCCTCAAAACGATTGCCCTTCGTATCGAATTTGCCATAGGGATCGTATACATCCGAGGCGAAGTGCTCCCCCTTCTCAGGTTGATTACTGACGTGCCACAGTCGTCGTCGTCGCCGTCGTCGTTGTAGTCGTCGTCGGTCGTCGTCGGTCGTCGTCGGTCGTCGTCGGTCGTCGTCGGTCGTCGTCGTCGTCGTCGTCGTCGTCGTCGTCGTCGTATGTCGTCGTCGGTCGTCGTCGTCTTAGTACGTAAACACAGTCACGACGTTGAAGTCAGGACCGAGCCCGCAGCGCCGCCCACCAGTGGGCCTTCTTCGAGCGTTGCGCGCGTGTTCGTGTGTATGCGTGTTTATGTGTGTTTGTGTACTCCAGATTTCGTAATAAAGGGAGGGGGGTCTCATTTCGGGGGGGGTCTCTTCCAGGCTATCTTGGAGGGCCTGGGGGGGTCTGGGGACGATGTTTTGGAGGGTTCTCCCACGGGGGAGGTCTGAAATGGCTTGTCTTGGAGGGTCCAGACCCCCTCCCTTTTATTGCGAAATCTGGGGTATGCGCGTTTGTGTGTGTGTTTGTGTGTGTATGTGTGTGTGTGTGTGTGTGTGTGCGCTTCTGTGTCTGTGCGTGGCTGTGTGTGCAGGAGGGGGCTCTCGTTGCCGGGCCGGTCCTCGGGTCTGGCCCATGGAGCCCACCTCGCGGCCGAGGCCCGCCGCCAGCAGAGGCCCTACGTTCCTTCTTCCGCATCCTTCGTGGCAGCATGATTTGTATATACACATAGATGTATACCCCAGATTTCGCAGTAAAAGGGAGGGGGTCTGGACCCTCCAAGACAAGCCATTTCAGACCCCCCCCCCGCGGGAGAACCCTCCAAAACATCGTCCCCAGACCCCCCCAGGCCCTCCAAGATAGCCTGGAAGAGACCCCCCCGAAATGAGACCCCCTCCCTTTTATTACGAAATCTGGAGTATACATATACATGCATATACACACCATCTGCTGCGCAGCGCGATGTCGCATCCTGCGCGCACCTGCGGGCAGCAGCAGGCCTGGTCCGACCAGCGTTCGCACAACAACGCATCAACGAGACAGCGGCACGGTGAGTCGGGTCGGGCGAAAGGGGGGGATTGGGAAAGGGGGGGTTACGAAATTTGCTGCATGCAGCTGATTTTGGCCTCACCGAGGAGCCCATTCCTCGATACATAGCCGCCTCCGGCGCCGGGAGGCGCCGGGAAAATCAGCTACGTGAGCTGATTCTCAAACCCCCCCTTTGCTATCCCCCCCTTTCGCCCGACCCGAGTGAGGGGGCGGGCTGCAGGTCTGGCGCCACTGCAACCTGCGCATGTCGTACATGAAGCAGGAACCTGCCTCGCTCCGCTTCCCGACCTCAAGCAGGAGGGGCAAAGGGGGCTAGGACGAGAGAGGAGGGAAGAGAGAGAAAGGGGAGGGCGAGGGAGGGAGGAGGAAGAGGAAGAGAAGGAGGAGGAGGAGGATGCGAACGGGGAGCGGAAAAAAAAACGAAGACGAGGATGGAGTGTGAGGAGGGCAGGAGGATGTGGGGAGGAGGAGAGAGGGGGGAGGAGCAGGCGGAGAGGAGGATGTGGAGGATAAGGAGGAGGACGAGGAAGAAAACAAGAGGCCGCACCTTGTGACCTGGAAGGGGGAGGGAGCAGAGAGAAGGAGAACGAGGGAGAGGAGGAGGAGGAGGAGGAGGGAGGAGGAGCAGAGGGGGGGGAGCCAAGCGAGGTGCGCAAGCGTCATTCGTGACGTCCTACCCATCCCTCCCATTCCTTGTCATTGCGTGAATCTCTTTTGTATTTGCACAGACGGATGTCGAACGAGGCAATGATCACATGAGAGAGCGACTCATTTCGACACCAATGTCAAAGGGAAAGCAGACATGACGCAGGACGGGACATGCAAATGGAAGGTTTGGACATCGGGACGCGTAGAATGGGATCAGCGTTGCAGCGGGAGCAGGATTCCGAAGGACCGAGACCTTGGAAATGAGACCAACGTTGCAACGGGAACGCGATTTGAAAGGATTGACAGCGCGAAAACCAAGCCAATGTTGCAGCAGGAGCCCGATTCATTTGCAAGAGAAACAATGAAATGAGACCAGCGCTACAGCTGGGATATGCTTTGGAAGAGCTGATCATGGGAAATTGGAGTCAACGCTGTAGGGGGAGCGCCATTCTGCAAGGATTGAAAGCGTTCGGATGGGAAACACACGTATGAATAATCAACTCGGCGGCATCTCGAGTGTAAAACATGCGCGGCGGAGGTCAGGACACGTCACCGCCGTCTTCGGGGGAGAGATGAGTAGTATTCAGTTTGTGTACTTTTGGCAGGCTGAGGACGAGGCAGGAGGCCGCACGGTTTGATTTATGCAGCATCCCGCAGTTGCGGAGGAGAGTGAAGGCGTTGGCGCGGGTAGCGGGATGGGTCGCGGGGTGCATCACGGGTGGGTCACGGGCGGGTTGCGGGTGGTAGCAGGTGGGTCGCGGGCGGATCGCGGGCCGGTCGCGAGTGGGACGTCGAGAACATCAACCAACACCATCAACAACAGCAACAACAACAGCAACCACAACAACATTCACAACAATAGCAACACTCATTTGAAAATTGTTTTATCTGGTCGAGTGTCATGCAACGCGTATTTCCCAAACCCTCGATACCCGCCCTCTTCGTTTTCGATCGTACACCTTTTGGGAGGTATAGCTTTCTTTCCTGCAGGCGGGTGCCCCGCAGGCGGCGGGGCGGCTGCGGGCCGTCGGCCTGGCCAGGGGCAGCGCTGATCGGCGGCAACTCGACCCCAAGAGGGCCGGACAGGGGACCGACCACGACGACGACGACGGCGACGGCGACGGCAACGGTGACGACGACGACGACGACGAGCGAATGCGATAGCGAGAGCGAGAGCGAGAGCGAGAGCGACAGCGGGGTCACGAAGGGCAGGGAAGGGACCACGACGGGCGACAGCGGGGCCACGAAGAGCATGCGTATGGGGCCACGAAAGGCGCGAGCGAGCGGGGCCACGAAGGGCAGATAATGCGGGGCCACAGAGGGTAACGACGGGGCCACTGAGGGTAGCAATGGGGCCACGTAGGACAGCGATGGGGGCCACAAAGGGCGACGGCGGGGCCGCGAAGGGCATGCGCGCGGGGCCACGACGGGCGCGAACGAGCGGGGGCCACGAGTGGCACACGTACGTTGGGCCACAGAAGGCAAGGACGGGGCCACTGAGGGAAGCAACGGGGCCACGAAGGGCAGCGAGGGGGCCGCGAAGGGCGACAGCGGGGCCACGAAACGCATGCATACTAGCCGGCCGCTCTGCGGTTGATCGGGAGTTTCTGTATATAGAAGAAGGTGCGTGCGCTTGTTGGCGAGGGTGAGGATGAGGTTCCTCCTCCTCCTCCTCCTCCTCCTCCTCCTCCTCCATCCTTCTCTTGCCTCCGTCTGTCCTCCTCCACCCCGCAGCTCCATCATCTTCTCCTCCTCCTCCTCCTCCTCCTCCTCCTCCTCCTCCTCCTCCTCCTCCTCCTCCTCATTCCTCCTCTGGGCACCTCCCCCGGGGCGCGGATCCACCGGATCTGTCCGGATCTGTCCGGAAACGGTGCCGGAGGCCGCTCTGGGCTCCTCTGGGCACCTCCCCCGGGGCCGGTTTTGTGAGGATGTCTCAAGCGAGGGCGCCGGTTTGGGATTCGTCCCGGATCCACCGGATCCGTCCGGAAACGGTGCCGGAGGCCGCTCTGGGCTCCTGTGGGCACCTCCCCCGGGGCCGGTTTTGCGGGGATGTCTCAGGCGAGGGCGCCGGTTTGGGATTCGCCCCCGGATCCAGCGGATCCGTCCGGATCCGTCCGGAAACGGTGCCGGAAGCCGCTCTGGGCTTCTCTGGCACCTCCCCCGGGGCCGGATTTGCGGGGATGTCTCAGGCGAGGGCGCCGGTTTGGGATTCGTCCCCGGATCCAGCGGATCCGTCCGGATCCGTCCGGAAACGGTGCCGGAGGCCGCTCTGGGCTCCTCTGGGCACCTCCCCCGGGGCCGGTTTTGCGGGGATGTCTCAGGCGAGGGCGCCGGTTTGGGATTCGTCCCCGGATCCAGCGGATCCGTCCGGATCCGTCCGGAAACGGTGCCGGAGGCCGCTCTGGGCTCCTCTGGGCACCTCCCCCGGGGCCGGTTTTCCGGGGATGTCTGAGGCGAGGGCGCCGGTTTGGGATTCGTCCCCGGATCCAGCGGATCCGTCCGGATCCGTCCGGAAACGGTGCCGGAGGCCGCTCTGGGCTTCTCTGGGCACCTCCCCCGGGGCCGGTTTTGCGGGGATGTCTCAGGCGAGGGCGCCGGTTTGGGATTCGTCCCCGGATCCAGCGGATCCGTCCGGATCCGTCCGGAAACGGTGCCAGAGGCCGCTCTGGGCTCCTCTGGGCACCTCCCCCGGGGCCGGTTTTGCGGGGATGTCTCAGGCGAGGGCGCCGGTTTGGGATTCGTCCCCGGATCCAGCGGATCCGTCCGGATCCGTCCGGAAACGGTGCCGGAGGCCGCTCTGGACTCGTGCTCTTCGCGCCGGGGGTGAGGATGACGTGAGTTCCACAGAAACTCCCTCAAATGACCACGAAGGGCATACATATATGGGGCCACGAAGGGCAGCGGGGGGGCCACGAAGGGCCGCAACGGGGCCACGACGGGCGCGAGCGAGCGGGGGCCACGAAGGGCATTAGTATACGGGGCCACACAGGGCGACAGCGGGGCCACTGAGGGCAGCAAGTGGCGAAGGCAGCGAGCGAGGGCGACTGCAGTGATTGACGGGCTGGTCGGGCGGACAGGCCCCGACGGGCGGGTCGAGCGGGCGGGTCGTTGAAGCGTGAGTCCTGCTTGAACCGCCAGGCAAAATTGCAGCGGGAACGCGATTCCTGAGTGTCGAGGACCGGCATTTGAGTAAATGGTGAGGAAATATCAAGCGAATCGGCTCGGTGGTAAGTTGCGAGGAAGCCCCAAGCGAGAACGCGATTCTCCAAGACACTGTCAAGAAATATCAAGCGGGAGCCGCGATTCGGTGGTAAACTGACAAGAAGTCCCAAGCGAAAACCCGTGTCTTAATACATTGTAAGGGAAGGGGGCCGTTGTTGTTGCAAACCGGGGCCCAACGACACAATTTGAGCTTCAAGATTTTCCCTGATAGCAAAACAGGGTGCGAGCCCCGAGAGGGGCACTTCAATCGAACAACTACAATGTGCACCGGGCGGGGGGGATCAACCATATTTATTCATCAGCAGTGAAAATTCCACAACAAAAACAAACACAACAATCATTCCAAGGTTGTTCGCTCCTACCGACCCGCGTGTCGTTCATTGTGCATATCCCAAACCTTGGATACCCGCCCTCCACGTCTTCGATCGTACCCCCTTTTGGGGAGTCATATTCCTTCCTGACCACGCGTAATTGGAGAAACCCCTAAACAGGGAAACGAAAAAGGAAATCTCAAAAAGAGAGGACGAAGGGATCGGAGGAAGAGAGGGATTGGAGGGGCAAGAGGGAGGGACGACGATGAGTTGTGCCGACGATGTGGGCCCTGATTGGGCAACTTGGCGGGGCCTCTTTTGGCGCGTTCGGGGCCTTGGTGGGCTGCGGCAGGGGCCTCTGTGGGCAGCGTGGCGGGGCCTCAGTGAGCGCGTCTGGGGCGGGAGCCGTTGTTGCTGTAGTTGGGGGCCCAGGGGCACACTTTGGCCTGGATGACTGTCCTTGTCAAATAAACCAGGTGCGAGCGTCGAGGGGCGCATTGTGATTGAGAAATGGGCAGCGTGGTGGGGCGTCTATGGGCGCGTTCGGGGCCTCTGTGGGCTGCGTGTGGGGCCTCTGTGGGCTGCGTGGTGGGGCCTCTGTGGGCGCGTTCGGGGCTTCTGTGGACTGCGTCTGGGGCCTCAGTGGGCAGCGTGGCGGGGCCTCTGTGGGCAGTGTGGTGGGGCCTCAATGAGCGCGTTCGGGGCTTCTGTGGGCCGCGTCAGGGGTCTCGGTGCGCAGCGGGGTGGGGCCTCCGTGGGCCCGTTCGGGGCCTCTGTGGGTTGCGTCTGGGGGCCTCAGTGGGCAGCGTGGTGGGGACTCAGTGGGCGCGTTCGGGGCCTCTGTGGGCTGCGCCGAGGGCCTCAGGGCAGCGTGGCGGGGCCTCCGTGGGCGCGTTCGGGGCCTTTGTGGGCTGGTTTTGGGGCCTGAATGGGCAATTTGGCGGGACCTTTGTGGCCGCATCCGGGGCCTGAGTGGGCTGCGGCAGGGGCCTCTGTGGGCAGCGTGGCGGGGCCTCAGTAGGCGCGTCTGAGGCGGGAGCCGTTGTTGCCCGGATGATTGTCCTTGTCAAAAAAACAAGGTGCGAGC